GCCTGTTTTAAGGGGGACAGTGACCTGTAAATATGTTAGGTAATTCTAACCTGGCTTTTCTTCTGAATCTAGGCAAATCCATGATTGCAAATAAAACCTTACTAATGATATTTTGCTGATGTAGCATTGTCCTACTGAATCTAGAGGCAGTCAGAAACCAAAAGAAGCATAAAATGTCCAAAGGGATCAGTCATGTGAAGTGTGAAATCTACACAAAATGGCTGCTTTGTTAATTTTGACAGAAATGCCCGGCAAATGTGTTGATACCACAATACTAAACTGCTTTCAACTCCCCCCCTAGGGAGTCAGAAGCCTTGGCTATCATAATCCTCCAGCCTTACTCTTGACAACTTTCATGTCGCAGCTGTATGTTATCAGTGCAAAACATCTGGCATTTCCAAAACTGGAAATGATGAAACGGGTTTCTCACTAGTAGAAGTGAATATAAAAACACCAAAGTTACGTACTGATTATAGCATTCCGTTGCACATTGAAAGAACCTGCCATAGAATTTTTAGGCTGTTGCACCAGAATGCCGCAGTTGAGCACTTTTTTAGTGGATAACTTGTGGCCCTGCAAAAGTAGAAAAAGGACAAACTGCCTTTTTTTTTTTTTTTTAAATGGCTGGACATGTTTTGTGTCAGACAGTACAAGCATATAGACAACAGGAGGGAAGGAAAGCACACACAGATTTCTAGAGAATTTATCAGGAATTCTGAAACGCAGTCTTACTGGATAACCATCTGTAAAACTTCTAGGACTGAATAAGCTCCCCCTAATATCTACTTTTTGTATATGGAAGAAGTCAACAATTTTGTTTTAACTTTTTAGAGAAGCTGAGTAATTCTAGACAATGCACTTAGTCTTTTTCCCCCCCAAGAGGACAAAAGTAGGCTGTGTGCCTATTTGAAATGCACAGCAATTACTCCTGAAAATGTTTTGCCCTTCAGTTGTGCTAATGTCTGCAGGAAATGTACCTCTGGAGCATTTTCTACCACTGTAGAAAGGAGAAAATGTAGGGTAGTTACCTTATGCAGGAATAGAACGAGCCTGTGGCTGCTGTCAGATGGGTCTTGAGGGAGCGTGGTCCTTGTATGTGCATGCTATATAGGGAGCAAATTTTGGCACAAAGGAGAGATAGCCAGTGTTCTCAAGCAATCAGCTGGGTATGTCTCCAAGAACAGCTAATGTGTGTCATCAGCATAGAAGAGGCAACTCAAAGAGTCTCCATTCTGTGCGTCAGCACACCAAGAATAGGTAGTAGACAAAATTATGAAGCAGATTATCAACAGGTGTTGCCCGCTTCTGCTATTTGTTTGTAGTGATATAATTTCCATAACATAAAGGTAAGCAAATTGGTGTCCTGTCCATTTCTGATCAATTGCTGCTGAGCTAACATGATGTCTTGGTTGGTCAATAAGAGGAAGCCTTGACCACAATAGTCCTGCGGAGTGCTGGCTTCCTGGAACTATGGAAGCTATTAAAGAATCACTGCAAAAAAAGAAAGAATAGAAGGCTGAGGAACAGAGGGGACAAACAGAGATGTCATTAAAAGAAACCAAGCAGTTTCTGTCACAAAGAATTTTCCTAGTCCTTTGTTGTAAAATATGTCGTGTTGATTCCCTATTGAATAAGAACTAAGAATAGTTACTTTAATACTGTAAGTTGTTTCCTCCAGCACTAGCCAGCATTTGACAGTAGAAGTCATACTTTCCTTCAGTTTTCATTTGAAAAGGATAGAACTTACAAATCCTGGCTGTAACAGTTCCCTCATATATCACACTGCAATAAAACCTTTAGTACTGTATTACCAGCAGGAAAGCTGCTGACTATTTGCTTGCAAATATTTTTTTTCATTTTTGCCTTTTCTTTATAAAACATAGAATCATAGAATAGTTTGGGTTGGAAGGGACCCCTAAAGGTCATCTAGTCCAGCCCCCCTGCCATGGGCAGGGACATCTTCAACTAGATCAGGTTGCTCAGAGCCCCGTCCAACCTGACCTTGAATGTTTCCAGGCATGGGGCATCCACCACCTCTCTGGGCAACCTGGGCCAGTGTTTCACCATCCTCAGCATCAAAAATTTCTTCCTTATACCTAGTATATATCTACCCCCCTTTAGTTTAAAGCCATTCCCCCTTGTCCTGTCGCAACAGGCCCTGCTAAAAAGTTCACCGCCACCTTTTTTTAGAAGCCCCCTTTAAGTACTGACAGGCTGCAATAAGGTCTCCCCGAAGCCTTCTCTCCTCTAGGCTGAACAACCCCAACTCTCTCAGCCTTTCTTCATGGGAGAGGTGTTCCAGCCCCCTGATCGTTTTCGTGGCCCTCTTCTGGACCCGCTCCAACAGGTCCGTGTCTTTCTTATGCTGAGGGCTCCAGAGCTGGA